GTGAATTTGTTCCACATGTCTTTTGAACATGTACTGCACAAAATGTCTGGTACTATAGAGAATCTGGTAAAGAGGTATCTAGTTTGTTTTCATTACAGCTGTGTATTTGAATTAGTATTTAATTAGTAATGCACATAAATACATTTGAAGAGCTGAGAGCGAATCCCCACTTCCTTTGATTTTGCTCAAGATAAAGAAGCTCTGATTTATTATTCAGTAGTCAAGATCAGAGAATGTCTCAGAAAGAAGGGAAAAGAAAACAGGAGAAATATTGCTGTCTGTGTGTTCATTAATAGATGGGTTTTTCCACACAGCGCAATGTATATATATACTATCAGCATGAATAAACAAGGGCCATTATCACTGTGAGAGTAATGCAGATTTTTAACACCGGGGTCACTGGTCAGTCAGCAACAAGTTACGGTGATGAAACATCTGCATTTCACTGCCTGATTATACTCACATTGTCGTCATCCCTGTAGTGTTTAGGGGATGTGGGCTCTTGGAATACTCAGTATTTTTCCCCCTGAAATTCAAAGACTCTTGTAGTTATGCTTGTGTCGTTGAATTGAGTATCTCCAAGTGATTCCATAAGTTAGGGTTAGCTTTCTGCTTCATCCTCCTCACCTTTAACTTTACTCCAAACAAAACATTGAATGATAGTCTTTCATTATTTACTTCCTTTTCCTAGACAAAATAGTTATGTAGGGTTTTTTTCTTTAGTAAATGCAACCATCTGCCTTTTAGCCAAATGAAATAGGATGGTTTTACAAGGTACCTTCCAAACAAGAGGTTCTCTTCAGTCCGGCTGGCATTGCCTCTCTGACATTTTTGGCACAATAATTCACTAAGCCACTTGGGTTTAGGCTATCAGATAATCATGCAAATGCAAATCAACATGCAAATCAAGCAAATAGATCATAACTAGAAGCACAATTTTTGACCTTACTTAGTGGAAAAATGAGAGAAGTGAATCTGAAAGTTCTGCAGATGGGATTTTTATTAAAATAATTTGACTAAGAACCACAGCAAAAATCTTTTCCCCTCATTGATCATTTCTTTTATCCAAGACACACAGCCTGTAATTTGAGAAAACTGTTTCTCTGCTACACTATTTTGTTAATAGGACTTATCTTAATGCAGTGTAACTCAGTAATATCACTGGGAATGTGAGCAACAAATGCACTGAAAGCATAGCATATAGGGTTTTGTTGAAGATTTCTCGATGCCGATGTGAACCTATGATAAGTGGGGTAAAATTATTCCCACCTGAACTTTAGAAGTTCAGTGTCAATCGAACTGGGCTAACAAAGCTTCCTTCATCATCAAAGTGAAGTACCTTTGGGGAATGACCACGTGGCATATTTTAGATCCCCACATCAGGGTGCACTGTAGCTTTCATTACTTGCGTTAACTTCACTCTGAATCAGGGGAGACTGCAGAGGAAGCTGGATCTTTCATCTTGATCTTCCACCTGGTGACATTGTTCCGCTTTGTTGTACTACCTCTTGGGTAAATGTTGATGTAACAGCTTTCCATTTGGATCACCATCATCAATGATTTCTGCTTTTCCTGCAGGGTCCAAGCCGTGGTCCAACATCATGGAGATCCTGGAGGAGAAGGATGGGGTTGATACTGAACTACTGGTTTATGCAATGACATTGGTTAACAAGGTTTGTTGACTTTATTAGCATAACTGATGGAAATGTTAATATTTTCCATTGTATAGTGATCTTCCCTGTTGAGAATATATGACACAGGAGACCTGTTCCAGAGAAGTTGGACAAGCTGTAATCAGTCAGCACACTCTTGCTACTTGTGTTGCAGTCAGCCAGGGGCAGCAGCGGGGAGCAGAATTGCTATTTTGCTAGGTGCTGTGCAGAAACATGTTATGACATGGCTCCTCTCCCAACGCTGACAACGCAGTGCAAAGCAAAACTCAACAAGCTAGCTCAACACATTATCCGAGGGGAGAAAGAAAGCAAGTACTGGTGAAAAAATCACATGCTCAAAAAAGGCTTGCATTGTGCACAATTTTCTAGTTCAGATTATTTAAATTTTTTTTTTTTTTTACTGCAAACCAAATATGATGAATTTAACAGGTATGAGTGCTAGTAAGAGGGTTTCTGCTTAAAAAAAAAAAAAGAGGTTACATTTTTTCTTTCCTTATATTTTCTGGTGTTCTGTATTATGAGTAGTAGTTTTGCAGTAAAATCACGTTTTCCAAAGTACTGAGTTATGCTATGAGGAGGGAGAAAGCGAAAGGCTTGTAAAAGTTAGAAATTTGTTAGTGTAAATTCCTTAAAAATTAATGTCTAGTCCTAAACAAATCTTAGGGTGACTAAAATTAAAAATTGATCTTTCAAAGAGCACAGAAGATCAACATACTACTAGCAAATCAAAATAACCATGTGTTTTATGATTCTACTTAATAGGCCAGAGTACTACAGAATATTATTGTTATTCGTTATTCAGCTAAAGATTCTGAGTGTCGGGGGAGGTCATAAATCAGGCTGCCAGCTTACTGTGCTCATGGCTACATTTTTGGAGCCGTGGGTTGCTTTGGGGTCTTTTGATAAAATAATTTCCTAATGGCTGCAAAGGTGCCCGAGAGGGACTAATGTCGCCCCGTGACATCACTGACGTCACTGTAATTTTACTTAGAGCCACCCTTGCTCCTGCTGACAAGGTAGTAAGGATCCTCTTGATTTAAAAGACCACCTTATCTCATTGATGCACTCTTTCTGAAAGGCATCACCAGTTTTGTATCCTTCTGTCTGTAGCTGCTATTGAAGCCAAGGCGACTAGTTTTTAACATCTCCATTTTACACCTTGTTGTTCTGTGTACCAGTTCCTCTTTCTGAGATAATTCTCTTCATCATTTGTGCAGTTTTAATCTAGCTGGTAATTGACTTCTTTAAAAATGTTTTTCTATGTTGACTCTTTTATCATCCTTTAGTTGATTCCTTTAGTTTGAGTTTTTAACTACATTTAAAGCTATTTTTAGGAAGAGGTAGTTCTTTAAAAACACACAAAAAGTCAGTCAAAGGAGCAAAGCTGTTATGAAGATCAAGGAAGGGAGGAATCCCACAATGCCACACTTGTAATTATGATCTGGCTTATGGACGGCTTTATGATGTTTTTAATGGGATTTTTTTCATGATTATAGAGAAAACAGCAAGCAGCATGTCACAGTTGTAATTTTTTTCCCCCACAGAGAATACAAAGAAGGCTCAGATGGTTTCAGCTTCTCTAGGCAGGGAAACATTGAAATTTTCAGTGCAGACAAAGTCCTCACAAGGGATTTGTGTTGAGGAAGTGTACTTCTACTCCTTTTTCTTTCTCCATGTATGCACTTACAGAGTGCTTTCCTTCCTGCTCAGGAGCAGAAAACACATCTGTTCAGACATAAGAATTGCTCTGATCCTTTCATCCTCTCCCACTCTTTTGTTGATGCTTAACCAATTTACTTATGCTGACATTTCATTTAACCTCTCTGAATTTGGGGGGATTTAGGCATTATGAATCTCTGAAATGAGATTGATCCCAATACTTAAGTTTATGTGTAGTTCCAGTATAACCTTGTTACCTTCCTTAGGTTAGTTCCTATGATCTGTTAGATCTTATGCTGATTCTTCATTTCTATTACTGAGGTACGGATAGATCATAGAATCATAGAATGGTTTAGGTTGGAAAGGACCTTGAAGATCATTGAGTTTCAACCCCCCTGCCATAGACAGA